ACATAAGAATCACTTATGTATTTGAAAAATTTTCAAAAAGCATGATCAACACCTAGGTTCAGAGGAGTGGTTACCTCTTATAAGAAGGTAGGAGAGGGGCCAAGAAGCCCCAAGAGCCCAAGGCGGTTGATTCTTATTATTGTGCAGCGAATCTTCCCTGGGTTTGGGCTTCTCTGAAACTGCGAGAGATGGTCAGGTCCGGATGTCGACCAGGCCAGCATTAATGATAGCCAAGATGTGGAAACAACCTAATACTTACAGATGAATGAAGATATGGTATTATGCCAACTAATAAATATAGAAAGAATGATGCAGTTAGAAGAACACCGTCTAACAATTATTCAGGGAAGAATCACCAATGGATGCTAAAACTACTAGGTGTTATCTTCAGGAGCACATGCTGGATCTACTAAATTAACAAATGGGAAGAAAGGGACCCATTTAAGAAAAATAACACATTTCAGTGCAGATTCTGGCCATTCCACCAATTCTGATTCAGCAAGTCAGACTGAAGCTGTACAAGGCCTTGATCGTTGTGCTTCTTTGCTACAGGACATTTTGAGAAATGAAGATTCAGGTTCAGAAATAGTGTACTCAGAAAATAGATCTAATCCTAGACCTTTAGAAGGCAAAAGATATGGATATAAAAAGAAAGGATTTGAGAAACATACTTTTCCTTTAGGAGCCCAGAAGGAAATGACATCTTCACGGAATAAGAAAAAGATACCTAATGAAACTTCTGCTGGAAGTGGAAAAGACATATCAGACTTACCACAAAACTGGTCATTACAAGATCATTATAGGATGTATTCACCCATGATATACCAAGCCCTCCATGACCACGTGCAGACTCAAATGTCACTGATGAAAAACTTTGCTTCAAAGAAGAACACCAGTGGAATTTCCCTTGTACCTGGCCATTCTGGGTCTGGGTCTGGTTCTGAATCTCAGGCAGCTTCAGATTCTAATTATGGCTCATATACCTCCCGCTCAGTCTGGTCACCTCAGCAACCATCCTGCCCTCAAGTGGTTCATTCTGAAGTTCAAACTGATGATGACAACCAGTTTTCATCACAAACTAAAACGGTTCCTGTGAACTCTGCTGATTGTCTAAGGAATTCATTTAATACCATTCCTGGAGTTCCTTGTAGCCTTCCCCAAACTGACACATCTGCTATTCCAACTTTTCAGCCCCTGGGCCTTGGTACCAGGATTCTACCACAGCAAGGAGTTCCTAAGGAAGCAGATCTGCTAAAATGTTTTCAAACATATATGTCTCTCTTTCAATCTCATGGGAAAGAAACTCATTCAAAAGGTCAGATGCACCGAAGCCCCATTCCATCACTGCCACCTGTTTGGGCCACTAATGAAGAAAAACGTGCCAAAGGACAAATTAGAGAGGCCACAAGTGAAGGGAAAGATTTAAACATAGGTGTGCGAGATGCAAACATAATCAAGGATGTACAGAAGGCAAAAAATGTGAACCAAACTGCTGAAAAAGTTAGAACTCTAAAGTATTTGTTGAGAGAACTCAAGGCCCTGGTAGCAGAACAAGAAGACTCAGAAGTTCATAGGTTGGTTACAGAAGTGGAGGCATGTGTATCTGTGCTTCCAGCAGTAAATGGAATTACAGATATCCAATTTGAAATAGCACTGGCCATGCAACCATTAAGAAGAGAAAATGCTCAGTTACGAAGGCAGTTGAGAAGTTTAAACCAGCAACTTAGAGAACAAGAAAAAACTCCTAAGGTGTCTGGTACCACGGAATGCAACCTTGAATTGTTCTCTCTTCAGTCATTGAACTTCTTCCTGCAAAATCAATTGCAGGAGACATTGAAGAGTCAGGAATTACTACAGAGTAAAAATGAAGAGCTCTTAAAAGTGATTGAAAATCAGAAGAATGAAAGCGTACAATTTAGTAATATGTTTAAAGACAAAGAGCAAACGATAGTTGAAAATAAACAGCAATTTGACATTGAGATGACAAAAATAAAAATTG